ACCTCCCAGGTGCTGGGTTTAAAGGCTTGCACCACCAGTACCCAGCTGAATGCAATTGTTTTTAATGAAGAGTTCTGAGGATGGCCATATTAACACTGGGTCTGCAGAGTGCAGAGAGTAACTACCCCCAGAGAAGACGATCTTTTGAAGCCCTAAGCAGGTTTACAAATGGAATGGATTTCATAAAAGAGGGAGAGGGGACACAATAGAAAGTTAGAAAACAAACCTTCCATTCTGCCAATAACCCCTTTGCTCTAGGCAGCAGAACCTTAAGGCAAATGCCAACACAGTCTCAATCAGGGTTACTCACTGTTAGCTTCACTTCTCAAGTGAGGTCCCCTGAATGAGACCTTTTCATTTAACAGGGCCTGCTGAAATGTACCACAGGCCTTCAGGCAATTTTGGTGATAGATGGCAGTCCCTTCAGACTCGGGTTTTTCTAAGGGCTGGGAGATGGCTATTCATGAACACAGTCTATATGATAACCTGCTTTATATAGCACAGGGCCCATCTCTAAGGTGAATAGCAACTTAACCTCTGGAGCTCATATGGCTCATTTCAACTTAGTTAATCTACTTCTACTACTAATACTTTTTTCAGTACTGAAGATCAGGTCAGGGGTTTGCACATACTAGGTAACCAATCTGCCATTGAACCACCCCTACACACACACACACACACACACACACACACACACACACACACACACACACACACACAAACACACACACTTTGGAGTGTGCGTCTGTGTATATATGTGTACTGGATGTGTGTGCACATGTGTATGAGAGTGCACAAACACAAATATACATATTCATAAGGAGACCTGAGGTAGGCAACTGATATTTTCCTCTATTGTTCTCTACCTTGTTTTGGAAGACATGGCTTCTCCCTTGACTTAGAGATCACTGGTTGGCTAGACCAGCCAGTGAGTTGCAAGGATCCATCTGTCTTCACCTCTCACAACCCCAGCGTGAGGTTACACACAAGCCATCACAGCACACCCTGCTCTTTACATAGGTGCTGGACAGGCTCTCATATATGAGTTGCAGATACATCATTGACTGAACTACCTCCTCATCTCCACCTTTCCATTTTCTGTAACAGGATCAAGCTGTATAGCTCAAGCTCACCTACAATGCATGATCTTCCTGACTTAGTTTCCCTAGTGACAGAAGTGCAAGTGTGCACCGCCATGCCTGGCTCAAATAATCTTGATGCCTATAGGCTTATTACTACAATGCCATCTCCTGTGAATGTATGTTTCATAGTCAAACATTTTCCTGTTCTCATTTAAAAATAAAACTTGGCCCTGTGTGATGGGTCAGCAGGTGGAAGCGCTTGTCACTGTCCTGGTGACCTGAATTTGCCCTTGAGACTCACATGATATAAAATGAGATACAGCTGCCATAACAGTCATCCTCTAACTATCACATGTGTGCTGTGGTATGTTGCCCCAACACATGAAATAAATTTAATATAATATAAATTTTTATACTTCTTTTTCAATTTTTATTTTAATTTAATTTTTTAAAATTTATTGACTGTTTAAAAATTTGTACAATATATTTCATCATGTTCTTTCTCTCCAAAATCTGCCCAGATAAAAAAATAAAGAAAATCCATTTTCTGATTTTCTATATTGCTTTTATTTTTATACTTTAAAGATGGAAAAACTCCATAATTATCTTAATTTTGAAAGAACACTGACTGACACATCTCAATCAAATCCAGTAATTCATAAATGAGTTTGCTAAAATTAAGTTATACTGTTGTAATCCATTAAAGCAGCTAAAATGGCATTTTCAATAACAAATAGAACTGAAGAAGCAGTTAATCACTGGATTTGTGTCTATATTTGCTTAATATTTTAATATTATTGAAATAGTCTAGCCATTTGAAATATCCCCAGTAAAATCTAGATGCAATAGATGTCTGCCATCATTACAAAAGCACAGATTAACACTGGAAGGATTCTGAGTAATACCATGCTAGTAAAGTCCGAGCAACATTTTCCAGTTTGTGTGGTGCAAATACTTTCTCCAGTTCAACCTGTTTCATATCAGGTCATCCATCACATGGAAAGAGGTGGATGCATGTGGACCCATAGAATTGGTTGCTGCATACCCTCAAATGTGATAGACAGCTGGGGCATCCTCTTCCTGCCTGAGGCCTTTTCAAGCTACTGTACCCTGGACATATAATGACACAGGCCCATACCTTCTATTTACATTTATTTACCTGGTTCTGTATAATAGTATTTCTCATTCTTTTGGGGGATTTGAAATGCAATAGGAAAAGCATTTTCCCTTGTGACCCACTCAGCATATACATACATGTGCAGCTGACTCAACACAAACAGAGGATAGGACCAATACAGAAGCTTGAACAAATAAACACTTGCTAACTTACAACACATGAAACCCATGCCTCCGATTTGAGTTTTAACCCAGAGTTCAAAAACCAATTTTAGTAGCACAGACAACAAGTTCACTGAAGACAGGATCACATGTCATTTGCCTGAGCTGTTACAAAGCCTGGCAGTGATTATGAAGATCCAAGGAAGCAAAGGAATTTTCCCAGATATCCAAGAACGACAGTTGCTAAATGATGCCTCGAAGCAAGTAGATAATTCATGCCATCAAAGCAGGACGGTTAACACTTGACACTTCAAGCTAGACAGTCATCCAAGATAGCTACTCCTACACCAGAACTGACAATGGGTTCTTTAAAATCATGTCTTTCCTCACCACTAAGAAATTTAGCTCATTGCTCATCAAGGCTTTTTGTCCTTGTTTTCCTAGGAAGCAGATTTGAGTGATCACTATTTCTCTATTCCTGATAACTTCCCTAACTGCACTAACAGATGCCATGGTTCCTATGAAACATCTAAAGAGCAGAGCTATGTAAATACTGTTAGTAAATAGGTAGAATAGACATACTCTCTGTAACATACAATGATGCCAGCTTCCTAAGAGCCAGGGATGCTAAAGAGGTGACGTAAACACTCCAGAAAATAAGACCTAATCCAGTCACTTTCCCCATCAGCATGCTCCCATGCTGCAGGGTCTCTACAGGTACTGTTGGATGCACACTGCAGTCACCAGACAATGCAGTTAAGCATCCTCACTAACACCCACCCCCTCCATTAATCATCTCAGTGACAGAGCTCCGGTTGAACATCATGGGGATTTCCTCCCCTTCTTCATCATTTATTTGCCAATATTTCCTTGTTATGAATATCCCCCAAGTGACTATCCCCAGCCATCACAGCTGTGCTGCCTACTGCATCTACCTAGACTGCAAATAACATTGACTCTTAAAACTACAACAACAACAACCACACAATCCCCTGAGATTCCTATAGTTAAGGAGAGGCCTTACTATAAACTAAATCACTCATGGCCCATGGTGCTCCTGCTAACTGACCAGCTTCAGCCTTTAAGCAGATGGTAATTTCAGACAAGTGGGGCTTGCTTAATTACAATGAACAATAGCTGACTGCTGGTAGCCATTATTTGAAGGGTCAACAATCAATTGCTGCTTTAGTATGTCCTTGAAGGACCACTTCCTATACAACAAAAGGCTTCTGCAAAGTATCCACATACCACAAGATAATTACACATCACCAACAAATTACAGAAACCTAGCCATTAGTAACCACCAAAAGGAAAAAAAAAAGACTCCAAAATTTTGGGGAAAAAATAATATTTCATTGTGGTTCAGGTGACAAAAAGAACAAGCTGTCACTCAATAAATAAACCCAGAGATGAACCCTGGCAAATATGCATCCATTCAGTCATTAAAAACACTGTTTGAAGCCACAAAGGCAGGGGACACTCTGGGCTTCTTCTAGGACCCACTCCATGTCAGTTCCCGGCCTTGCCAGCAAACAGCATTTCCCAATTGTCTTAAAAATGGACACCATGAAAGGAAGATGCTCTGCCGTCAGGTAGGGAGATGGGTGAGAGCAGAGTCACCAGTTCATACTCAGAAAGAATTTTTAGGGAACTAGCTTTGCTCCATTTCCAAAAATGACATTCTACTCCAAAAAAATTACAAAGACAAAATCACACCACCATGTATTTGCAAAGCATATCAGGACTAATGTCTTCCGAGCAATCATGTTAACATTACATTTTCTATGGGGAAATCTGATGTTAATCTCTCTTCAACCAATATTCCATAATTGTCTTGAAAAGCATATATTTTTACTCTTTTTCAGGGAACTCCAACTGGACTTTTTTGGGGAGGGGGGTGTAAGCAAAACACAACTTCTTAGCAAGAGTCACAGAAATCAAACTCTGATGTATTAAGATGACACTCCCTCCCCAGCGCAACATGTTGACTTCAGCAATAGCAACAATACCTCATTGCCCAAAGTGTGAATGCTATTAAGTAATGGACAGAGCAAAAGGCAGCAAAGACAGAGGACTCAGCTTCAATTTAACTGTCCTGTAAGGTACATAGTAATTAGCTGCAAAGCTCTGAAATCTTAGCTAGCATGTTAAGTCTGCTACATGACAGTATAATTTGACTTCTTAAAGGATTATGCAAATTACAACTCATCATTCCATTACAGGATTGAAAAAAAGTGACAGCTAATTTATACATAACACACCTTTCAAATCCCTAAGATGCGTAGCACCTGTGCGATGTATTTTGCCGAGATTTTCTTGCACATAAGTACTTGTTTATTGCAATATAAAAAGGTTTACCTAAGAGCGTTAATACAACTACTTTTTTTAAAAAATAACCTTTTAGACCACAATTTCAAAATAATAGATTTTTTTTTTCCTTTTTCACCTCTTGATTTCAGAGGAAAATTTTTTGTTTTCATTTTTGTTCTGTTTGATTTGGCTTCCCCCACCCCCACCCCACCAAATCAATTCAATAAAAAAAAAAATAAGGTTTCAACACAAATATATTATTTGAATAGCTGGCAACCACAAGCACTGATGCACGAGCCAGAAGGCAGACTCACAAAGATTTCAACATACTTCTGGTAGGTAGATTCACAGTAGATTCCGTCATATCTGTAGATTTTCCTACATTCTGATTGGTTGGGCAGAGGATGCTGCGCAGTTATTCTGTAGAGGCATCAAAAACAGATAGACATGACTAGAGATTCTCTACAGTTAGGCGGAATGCAGGGTAACAAGTGGGCTGAGATGGAACCATTTTGCTCTTTACCCTTGGGCTCTACTCACAACCTTAATGTGCACCTCCCACTTCGCCGCAGAGAACTGCAGTCAGAGACAAGCAAGTATTCCAGTTCTTCGTGGGAACACTTTTAATCTCAGGGTCATAAAAGCAGAAGAAAAGCATGACTTGGGTCTAACGCTAAACTCACTCTACATTCCCTATGATTATATTCTAAAGGAAATGTTAAAAAAAAATGTCATTAGTGTTTTCGTTACAGAATTGTCATTAATCCAATCATGCATTACGAGAGGAGGCAACTGTAAATTAGCTATAAAACTATAGTTGGGTTAATATGTTTTTCTACTTTATTCAATTTATATGGTGTTTGTACACTACTGGCTTCTAAAGGGATGTAATACAGCTTACAGAACTGAACCCAATTAGGGATGAAAACACAAGTGAGGCCATTGGGAGCGAGGGTTAGACTTTAACAGGCACCTGAGATGAGCTGATTACAGCGGCTCCAGGCTTCTTGGCAGTTAAGGCAAAAGGGCGGGGGAGCTTACACAGTTTTTCTTTGTATCACTTAAGCACATAAATTCATTGGAGACTCCCTGCGTTATACCGACATAAAAATGCTGAAAGGCATTTTCTGACCATTTCCTTCTATTGAAAATCTCTTCATTCAGGGAGAAAAGTACATAAGAAACCTATCTTGTTTTATTTTAGTGAGAAGTCATGGAATTTAATCAATACAAAATATCAGTAAGAGTACCAAGCAGTTTGCTCTAATAACGCTAACAGAAAGTAACGAAATATCTAATCTCCAAGAATATATAACACAAACAGCACACCACACACACACACACACACACACACACACACACACACACACACACAAATCCCCTTCAATAGCAATTAAAACATGCAGCGCATCAGTATCTTATAAAAACTCAGGTGAGTCTCTTCTAATTTCTGTGTGCTTCTGATGTCATTAAGTTTACTTAATATTTCATAAAGTCCAAAATACCTAGGGACAGCATTTTATAAAAATTTAAGTTCTATTTGGAGCTGTATTTATATGCTTTTCTCGGATATTATTTATCATATTCTCTGTGCTATAATCAGTCTGGCCCCAAATCTCTTATTAAATTTAGTTGGCCAACAGTTCTATTTATAATTAATCATTTGCCCCTTGTTTAAAGTGATTTTTAAGCCCATTTGATTATTGCACTCAACTTGTAGCATAAATGTACTCATTAACTATCACTGGAATTCCAAGGGTTTTCATTAACCTATGTGATATTTCATTGTAAAGCTGAACCGGGAAAGCAGGAAACATAAACAGCTTGAAATGAAGAGGGAGCTGGTGTGAAAGATGCAATCACAGGATCACTCTGACAAATTTGTTTTAGCCACTAAATTTACAAAACCACATTCTGAGAAGAGTTTTTAAGCAATGACATCTGATGATATAAACTACAAGTTTAAAGAACATATTTGCTGTGAGATCACATTGAAACACTCCACATTTCTATTCGGTAGCTTTGTGGTTTAAAGTTGATGTTTTGTAGTTTGTTCTGAACTAAAGGACTGAGGAGCATTTACATAAGAATGCTCCTAAGCTGATTCTCAATGATTCTGTAAACCATCTTGGAAAGGTATTGGGTGAAAAGACAGAAAGACAAAGTAAATAAGATGGACCATCCCCTTCGACAAGCCCCTTTAATGACAGCCAAGATTATAATGAAGTTCTGATTTACTTGCTGCATATCACTGAGAAAACTATCAGGTGTTAAAATAATAACAATAATAATAATAATAATAATAATAAACAAAATACTTCCAGGAAACAAAGCCCCAAAGCATCGTTTACTGAACACTCCATGTTTCCCCTTTCTTGCTACAATAGATTATTAACCAAAGGCTTTTTGAGTTCATTTTCTTCACCTGGTTTTTGTTTTTTTAAGGTTAAACACTACCAGTAAAAAGTTCAAATACGCCCTTCAATCATGAAACTATTATAAACCACACTCTCTGCCTATCAAACAGTCCACAGTCCTCGCCTTCATGTCACTCCTGTCTAGATGGACTCATCATGCAGCTTTGGGTAGGACTTAAGTGCATTTACATACATGTGAAACGTGTAAGCTATGACTAATTTTAACTCACAGGGCAGAATTTAAATAATTAGTTACAAGAAGTCAAACTAAGGGAAAAAGGAGGAAAGAGATGGTTAGAGGCAGAGTAGTAAATTGTTCCATTTTTGCAGGTAATCTAAATGCAAACTAGAAGCAACTTATCATGAGAATGGATTTTCCACCATCTGGTCAAATAACAGGGGATTTGTCTAGTGGCGAGCAAAGAATGGAATGATGTGAGAAAGATTAGCGGGCAAGTCCTACAGTTAGCTAAAATGTATTTTGTGCAAACAAGAACAGATGACGCCTTAACAATTACACCTGTCAAAAACTCCAGAAAGCAATCCATCTCTGAACAGCCCAGTTGAAAACAGGCTAGTTCATAACAAAATGAATTTTTTTTAAACAATTGCCAGCCATAACAGTTTGATGCATGACAAGCTCAGGAAGTCGAATTTCACGTTCAACTGAAACCTTAACTAACTGGCCCCTGGTTTCCAGTGATAAGTAAGATATTAGACCCTCAAAAAATGTTGAAACCATATAAATGGCAGGTTTAAAAACCGCAAAAGCAAGGAAACTTGAAATTAGAGACAGAAAATCAGAAATGAGGAACTGCCCGGACATATTATCCTTTGGAGCCCCTGTACTGTCACTGTCCTATCTCCGTAGACTCTTTCCTGGTTCAAATGTGCCTCCTTTGCTGCAGAAACATTAGGCATGGAGGCAAAGACTGAAGAGCTCATCTCGATGAGGTTCCTCCAGACTTAAGCATGATGGGAAGATACCAGATTCTGCAGCTGTTTCACGGGATTTTATTTCCTGACTGTTCTTCATAAATGCTGGCAATTCTCTGGAGTTAAGATAGAGAAGTGTGTTTGTCTATTTTTTTTCCCTTGCTATTTTAAGTTGATGAGGTGAACTTCCATAGTAGCCCAGCCTCCATCACCTCACATTAATGTTCACACTCAGGTTGTTCTGTCACATGCCCAAGAGATTCCATTACAATATACACAGCTCAGATCTGGGCTGGTCTTGCATTTGGGTGGCAGTGGTACTCCTTGAGGTATATCTGGCAATATACTCTACCACAGTTCAACACAGTCTGAAGACTGTGGCATTTTAAAATATATAGAGAAATGCCTAGAATTCACTGCTGTCTTTTACTTTTGAATGTAGCAGTGACTCTTGGCCATTCTCCCAGGGGATATTTTCTCATCAGACATCTGACCTGCAGAAGTTATGATTATTGCATGAGATGTTCATTTAAAAACTACCTATGCTTTTCTTTTTACTTGTTCTATTGAGTTACTATTCTAAATAGCTATGATGTTCATAATTTTCTCTGTTTAAGTCCAAGCGTTTTTTGTTTGTTTTGTTGGGTTTTTTGTTTTGTTTTGTTTTTTGGGGGGTGGGGACCAGTCTTTCCACCATGGGAATTTGCTATCTTTGGTTCCTCTATGCCCTGTAAACAAAAACAACTAACATTTCGTGTCTTCCATGATGGAGCTGGGAAATTGTCAATCACACTAAACAAAATATTTAGTTCTGATAGCACCATCCATAGCTTCACATGTAATGACACAGATGGTGCCCTTTCTCTAAGACAGAGAAGAGATATTTCAGGAGAGATTCACTAACACACTAATACACTATACCAGGCAGCGTGCTTAGGAGGTCAGTTAGTATGTGGCATTTGTTAAGTTACCTCTGAGAGGCTCAGCTTCCCACATAAAAAAAATGGGAATAATAGAAACTATTTTTATTATAGAAGTATTTGTAGAAATTGCATAGCTCCAAAATTTCACATATCAATAACATGGTGAATGTTACCTTATAATGACTAATTATCCTCCTAGATGCCAAAGTTACTGGAGGGTCACTTACTTTGATAAACTCCAGGTATAAACTGAGAAACTTTTATTCATAGTGAGTCTCCTAAGGTGATCTTTAAGACTCTCTGCACTGCTTTAAAGCTTCTTACAGATATGTTGATAAAGTTTCATCCATCACCTCTAACCCAGAGTTAATTACTATATCTTCTATCAAAATAATGTGTTTACATAATAGACTTCTTTTTCTTAGTAATGATGTGCCAAGTTCTAATGCTGCACTTCAGGAAATATACAGGTAAGATGGCACAGAGGTTGGAGAAGTGATACTAAAGTAACTCCAGAAGCCAGAACAGAGAGGAACCAGATCCCATTTGAGAAGACCTACTTAAGAATATCCAGCTTCAAACCTTTGAAACACTTGCCAAAGAAACTCATCCGGTATGAGACCACAGAGAGCCCTTAGATACAAAGTGCTGAAGACATAAAGAGACATTCTAGGCATCAGGAATGAAAGGTAGGTTCAGGACAGGCCAGATCCTTGTTGTCATTAGTGTTCTGAGACAGTGCAAACTCCCACCTAGCATGTTCTAGAACAGAGTTTTTAAGCACCAAACTTTCAAATGGGGATTCTACTGGGTCAGGGGAGCTCTATTGGGAAAAGGGAACTTTACTGGGAAAGGCAACTTTTATCACAGATGGAGAGTCTGCTTCCAATCAGACGTTCCTCTGGGTGGTACCAGAAGACCCTCAGCACTACAGGGACTATTTCTGCCTTTCCCACTGACTCCTGACTGCCAACAAGTTTTACCTGATAATAAATCGAAGGCAAAACAAACAAACAAAAGAGTCTAACAGATTATTCTAATGGGGAGATGGAGACGAGGCTGTCTCTCTGCTCCTTACTTTTCTCCCCGCCATGATCTCTGAGTCTGCCCACATTTGCCCATTTTCTGGGAGACATGGCAACAT